AAACCCTCACAGGTTCCACACAGGGCAAACACGATTGTCCTGCATGGTGCTCAAGTACGATATCTCCACTCGAATCCTTCTAGCATTCGTCTCCTGCTCTTTAGTACACTGAATCACTACAAAAGGATTCTCCGGTCGAAAACGCACATTGACTCTGTGTCATGCTGACAGGCAGAATGGTTGGGTTCTGTCGGGTGTCGTGAGTCCCCTCCATATTATCTGTGAGTATATGTGTACAAAAGATGCCTTGGTGGCAGCTCTGGGGGCAAAAGACTCCCCAAATTTCGGTTGACGTGACTGACGCAGATGAAGAAATCTTCTCCAGAGAACGGTTTGGTGATCTGGTTAGGTCGAATGAGGAGCAACTGGCAGTGCTCAGGTCCAACTTGCGGCGCTTTAGGGGCCGCCTACCAGCTTCTCACGTGTTCACACAGAATGCTCTCGAGGAGTGGATCCAGAGAAGGGGCACCCACCCGATCAACAGAGGCAGACGGGTGACTCGGAGTGAGGTGGTTCCTCTGCCTGCTGATGTCAGGGCTCAGATGCTCAGGAACATAACAGCAAGGAGGAACTGAGCGAGTCCTTCTACACAGCCACAGCCACAGCCACAGAATGAAGCCACTGCAACCAACCGCAATTGGTCAGATGAGGATCTGGACAGAGCCATCGCCGCGTCTCTCGCAAACCACAACGAGACTTTGCACACCAACAGGAATATGGCACTCTACTTGGCAGAGCAAGAGCAACTCGATCTGGCCATGCAAAGGTCTCTTACGAACAGACGCAGAAGGAGGCCTTCAAACAGCAACACCAACAATGACATCCCAATAGCTTGGAGGAGGCGGACTTGATCGGAAGCACATGTTCCTCTAATGTGCGATGCGTTCAACTTCTGAAAAAGTAACGTCGACTCAAAAATAGCCTGTAGAATGTTCATGGAGCAGAAGAGAGACCAGAAACCTCACATCAAAGACGTGCGTATCAAGGTTTGGGAAGAGACCAAAGGCATCTCAGGAAGGCTGGCACGTCCGCCAAAATGCGAAAAGCACATCCTACGCCCGGACCAGGCACTGCCGCAGAGGTACAAAGACACAGAGATCCGAGTGAAAAAAGAGGACACTATAATGGCTGCGCGCCAGTTGCAGCAGGAAGGCTTCAGACCTATGGTCCTGAACCTCGCAGATGACTGTTTTGCAGGAGGCTGTGTTGACATAGGGGCGTCCGCTCAGGAAGAGTCGCTGTTTCGGAGGACAAACTATTGCATGAGCCTGCACAACGATCCAACGCGAGAACGTCTTTACCCAATAGCTGCAAACGAGGCAATCTACTCTCCGGACGTCACCGTGTTCCGGGCAAGTGAAGAAGCGGAGTACAAATTTCTCGCGCGACCGTTCAAGCTGGACTTCATTGCTTGCCCCGGCCTCAAGTACCCGCAACTCGAGTTTGCGTCAGGAGACGGTAGAGACAGCGGTCATCTGTCCGAGGCCGACAGAAGGATCCTTGAGAATAAGGTACGTCTAATACTCCAGGTGGGAGCAGACAAGGGGCACGACTCCCTGGTCCTGGGTGCACTGGGGTGCGGTGCCTGGCACAACCCACCCGCTGACGTTGCTGCAGTGTTTCGAAAAGTTCTCTCGGAACACAAGGGAGTTTTCAAGGCGATTGTCTTTGCAATCCTCTCCGTAACAGAGTTTGACGGTAACAATTACCTGATCTTCAGAGACACCTTTTCAGCAAGCACTTAGGGCCAAGATAACTAGCACAACAAGTCAATTTTGCCATGGCAATCCATCCCAAGATCGCTCATCTGCTGTCGCTCCCTCAGCCCGCGCAACGGTCCGAAGAATGGTACGCAGCACGCCACCAAAGGCTCACGGCTTCCGATGCCGCAACTGCACTCGGGCTGAATCCGTATGAGACAAAGGATCAACTCATTCTCAAAAAGTGTGGATATGGACCAAAGTTCATGGGGAATGAGGCCACACGCCATGGCCAAAAGTGGGAGACATTCGCATCAGACCTCTTTTGTGAGCGGCACGGCTTCAAGGCGTACGACGCCGGCCTCCTGCTGCACCCGACGATACCATTCCTTGGGGGCTCGCCCGACGGGCTGCTCTCTACCGAAGACGGGTCGCGGTGCGCGCTCCTGGAGATCAAGTGCCCGCTTCGCAGGGAGATCAAGGACGAGGTTCCTTCATACTATTACCCACAAATTCAGTTATGCCTTGAGATCTGCGATGTCGACAGCTGCTGGTTCGTGCAGTTCAAGCCGGAATCGCTGATCGACGACGAGGTTTTCAGCTGCATCGAGGTCCCCCGAGACCGCGAGTGGTTCGCAAAGGCCCTGCCGCAGTTTGACGCCTTCTGGAAGGAGGTTCTCCACTGCCGCGAGCACGGGGTCGCTGAGGTGCTCGCCCGCATCGAGTCGAGGAAGCGCCCCCGGGTGCCACGAGCTGCAACCCTGCGTGTTGCAGTGCTTGACGACGAGCCAGCAGCAAAGCCGGAACCGGAGGCGTGCATGATCACCGTCCACCCCAGGCAGCGGACCGCAGCGGCACGTGAGCAAGCGGAGGAGCCTTGCATGATTGTCGTGCCACCCAAGAAGCGCATTGCAGGCACTTTGGAACAGCCAAGGGAGCCCTGCATGATCGTGGTCCATCCTAGGAAGCCCACCGTGGAGACGTCCGAGCAGTGCATGATCGTCCCCCGCCCCGGGAAGCAAGCACCTGAGCCCGTTGTTCGGGAGCAGGGAGCCGTGCATGATTGTTGTCCGCCCCAGGAAGCAAGCACCGGAGCCCTGCAAGACTGTTGTCAAGGAGCAGGAGTCGTGCATGATTGTCGTTCGCCCCAGGAGATTGATTGCAGGGGCTTCATAGCCTTGCTACGCAGTCTTAGGCAAGCTCTCAAAGTGTCTGATCATGTACGTGGTGAGTCCAAGGTTGAGGAACGTGAGGATGCCAACTACAAGCAGGATCGAGAGACTGATGTGTATGTAAGGAACAATCTCCTGCACGAGTGGAGCCGCCAAGGTGGCCCTGAGCTTTCGCTTGTTCTCCTCAACTGCCAGCTCCTTTGCGAATATGTCCAGGAGCTCCCTTATGAACGACTGCAGCATGCCTGTCTACCCATAGCTTAGGAGATCTTTGAGGAACGCATGGACTTAGGCCCTTGCATCGTTTTTCAACAACAGCTCCATGGCCTTGTGGTCAACCAAGTACAGCAGCTTTCTTGTCGGCAACGAAGGGGCTCGCGAGCGCCTGAGGCAATGGCTGCGAGATTTTCTGGACCGCAAGCCCGGCACGAAGCGGGCCGCCCTACTCATAGGCCCTGCTGGGACCGGGAAGACGTGTGCAGCGTACCAGGCTCTTAGAGAAGCAGATTGTCAGGTCGTCGAGCAGAACGC